TTAGAAACATTGATCAGCTACCTCCTGCAAACCTATTGGGGATGTGCCTGCAACCAAGGTGCATGCCATTGACTGGAATCGAACCTGGGACCCTTCAGTCCACAGGCCGATGCTCTATCCACTGAGACAAACCAGTTAGGGCTCCAACACTTTCTTTTTCTATCTGCTGTAAAGGGACCCTGGGCATGAATCAGGTTCCCATAAAATAATCTCTGAAATATTGCACCCAACAACTATCTTATGCTTTCTATGGTGAGAAATGCCAAGAAAATGACTTGCATTGGGATATACCCCCATAAATATTAAATGTTAACAGAATGTAATTTGATCTGGTTAAAGCAAGCCTGAAAAGATGTGTCAGTTTGGTGTTAGCTTGTATTGTTAACAGAACCATGAGTGAACCCTGCATCACTCATGCCATTTCTCACTAAGCCACCAGGGGTCAGTGCGTGTCTGCTTGGAACAATAGCACTGCATGGCCTCAAAGGTTTCTTTATAACATTTTCTAACATCAGATTTATTTTTTATATTTTTAATTTTTATTTATTGGAGAGGGGGTGAGAGAGAGAAATGTCCATTTGTTGTTCCACTTATTGATACTTGATTCTAATATAAATCTTGATCCGGGATTAGATGGACCACTAACCTTGGAGAATCGGGGTAACTCTAACCAACTGAACTAGCTGGCAAGGGCAACATAAGATTTCTTGAGGAAATACTTACTTGCTTTTCTTCATCTATTTCATTTGGAAGCTAATGAGAATCTACCACCAGTACCAAATATATGTTGAACCACTGAGCCAAAAATGTCCATTGTGACTAAAACAGACATGAAAAATGAGGTGTCCAACTCTTGTCCATCTGTCTTTTTCACTATCTCTTCAGTCATGAATAATCCTCTGGGCAAAATAATATTGACCCTCTGTGTAATGGATTAGAGATAACTGTCCATCGTGTGTCCACATCTTTGTGATAGGAATCTTTAAGTAGCAAGGGACCTACTCATAAGATTGTGAAAATGTTGCTTGAAATTTGAAGAGATATGATGAATGTGTTGACTAGATCTTTGTGGAAGTCTGTCCAAGTGAGAGATCTTTTCTTTATTTTATTTAGACTTTACTTTAATATATACTTTTATTGATATCAGAGAGGAAGGGAGAGGAAGAGATAGAAATATCAATGATGAGAGAGAATTATTGATTGGCTGCCTCCTGACATGTCCCCTACTGGGGATCGAGCTCACAACTTAGGCATGTGCCTCTGACTGGAATTGAATCCGGGACCTTCAGTCTGCAGGCTGATGCTCTACCCACTGAGCAAAACCAGCCAGGGTAAGTGGGAGATCTTTTCAGCACAGCCAAGGTTGGGTCCATACGATTTACTCTCCAAGCACTGAGTTTGCTTTGCCTTGGGAAATGTGAATTAATCCTTGATATCCTCAAACAGCATGAGGGTCAGAAAAGGGAAAAGTGGTTATAATTATTGTGGAGGAGAGATAAGGTTATGATTTTAATTACTTGGTACCCTGCCTATAGCAGGTCTCCTCTCTGTATGATAATTTCATCACCACTCAGCCATCTGAGAGCAGAGTCCACACCTTAGTTTTGGAATATTTTAGGCCCCTAGACCACCACCTGAGAGTAAAGACTTGACACATACTCCACAAGACACCTACTACATTAGGACACACTACCTTGACTGGAAGATATAGCAGCTCAACCCAATACATAAACACAGGGAAGCTGCCCCAAAAGACTATTTCCTCAATAATAAAATATAGATAATAGGCCTCTTCATAGGTTTAGTGAAGCCATTCAAACAAAAATATATGTATTTAGAATATGGACCTGGCATACAGTAGCACTCAATAAATATTTTCTACCATCCTCAAATTTGTCCTCTCAAATCTTGAGTTTATTCTTGGTGCTTTGATAGGTTTTTTTTTAATTGTTGCCATTGGTTAGTTGTCTGTCTTTCCCACTGGACTCTAAATTCCAAGCAAGTAGGAATTATGCCTATTCAATTCACCTTTTAGCCAAGGTGCCTTTTCTGGCTGGCAAATAAACACTAATAGAGTGCATGTTTCCTAAAAACCAAAATCAAGATAATAACAACAAAAAAGTCCTTCCTTTTAGTAACAACAATACAATGATAACAAGAAGAAACTTGCTGGAGTTTTAGCTTTTGATATGGATCTAACTTCAAATGGCCTCTAATCTTCTGGAATAAAATTCAGAAAACAGGCTTGCAGTCCAACAGTAGAAGACCCTGGCACAACCTTTATCTTAAGAGAGATAAAGGGAAAATACATGCTTGCTAACTTGGGGCCTAAAGGTTAGAAGGAAAGATTTTATCAGATTCTACCTATGAACAAATTATGGCAAATACTGGAGGGAAAAATTCCTTTGTGGTCTTCTAGATACCATTGGTGGGCTCAATAAATACTGATGGGGGCCATTTCAGGATAGTTTTGCAAAATGTGCTGTGTACACAAGATGATTTTATCCAGTGCATGGATACATTTGTTTCAATATTCTAGTTGAAACTTATTTAAAAAATATATATGCAGAAAAAATGTAAGTATTTTTTAATAAAAGATTGATCTTTTTATAAAAGATTGATTCTGGAGAGAAAGGGAAACACTGATGTAAGAAAGAAACATTGATTGGTTGCTTCCCACATGCACCCCAGCTGAGGACCGAACCCACAACCTAGGTATATGCCCTGACCTGGAATCCAACCTGTGGCAGTCTTTCAGTGCATTGGACGATGCTCAACCAACCAAGCCACACTGGCCAGGCTGCACATCACATTCTTAATTTAATTAATTGTCAAGAAAAGTTAAAAAGCCCGGCTGGTCCATAGGCAGACACTCTATCCACTGAGCCAAATCGGCTATGGCTACTCCCACTTTTCTATGAATACTGTATTTTACGGCGTATAAGATGACTTTTGAAACGAAAAAAAAGTCAACAGAAAATTGGGGGCAAAAGACCAAAATTACACAAAAATTATCTGCAGATCTTGACGGCAAAATAAGTCTTTTCTTTGAAGTGGGGGATAGTCTTATACAGCGAATATAGGCCTAAACCTATGTTTTAACTGTAAAATTAGGGGGTCGTCTTATACGTCGGAAAATACGGTAAGCACAGTTTTCAGGCTGCCAAGCTATGACTCTCAGTATGTAACCTAAAATGAGCCAGCTAGATTTAGGTGATTCTAAATAATTCCACAGGCCATCATTAATATAAACATTTTTACATAACTTGTTGCATGCTGATTCAGCTCTAAGTAATTTGGCTTTACCACTGTACAATTTGCTATCTATCTGTTTTATCACTTCCCCATACTCAGAACAGGGTAGTAATTAAGGGATTTGACTTAGGGAGACCTTGTCTTTTTTGCTTATGTTGTTTAATCTTGGGAACAAAAATGAGAGATTACAAAAAGGAATGAGCAAAATGTTTGTTATCCGTAGAGAAAGCACTAAAATACCTGTATTTCCCTCCCCTTAAAACCAAATGCTAGGTCATACCCTGTTTCCCTGAAAATAAGTGTCTTATATTAATTTTTTCTCCCAAAGTTGCGCTAGGTCTTATTTTCAGGGGATGTCTTATCTTTCCATGTGCCAGGTCTTATTTTTTGAGGATGCCTTATTTTCGGGGAAACACAGTAGTTATATGGGGTGGGACAAAGGTTAGGTTTATAGCTGTTTGTATAGAAAATAATACAAGAATAAATAATAATACGAGAATAAACTGTGCCCTACTGGTGTGGCTCATTGGTTGAGCATCAACCTAGAAACCAGAAGGTTGCAGTTCGACTCCCAGTCAGGGCACACATGCTTGGGTTGCAGGCTGTACCCCCACAGTAGAAGGCATGCAGGCGGCATGATTCTCTCTTGATGATTCTCTTTCATCACTGATGTTTTTCTCTCTCTCTCCCCCTCTCCCTTCTTCTCTAAAATCAATTAAAAAATATATATAATAAAAACCTGTGCTTTGTGTACTCAACTGTAACATATTTTTGCCCAAACCTGTATATAAAAACTAACCAATGGTGTCAGATATTCTATTTGATGGATAATTACAATAGCCACTTTACCAAAATCTATATAAACAACCTAAAGAATTATTTTAAAATCATGCTAGACAAAACCTGCCCGGAAAAGATTAGGTGCAATGTATACCAAGACATATATACCATTCTCTAGTATAAAAGTTTTCAAAAAACCATGGATAATATAATCCATATACAGAAAACCCTATTATGCTAAGAGTCTGTCTGACTGGTAGCTATGATGCACACTGAACCACCAGGGGGCAGACACTCAATGCAGAAGCTGCCCCCTAGTGGTCAGTGTGCTCCCACAGTGGGAACACTGCTCAGCTGACTAATGGGCCCCAGATGCTGGGCTGGGCTCATGGCTGCTGAGCACAGCTGTGGTGGTGTGAGTTGCTCCAAAGAACACTCCCCCAGTGGGCCCCTCCCCCATCCGGACCAGGACTAGGATCAGGACTGGCATCAGGGCTGATTGGGTGCAAGCCCACGACTGCTTCTTGGCCATGGGTGCGCCAGTATCACCCTAGGATGGGTGCGTGGAGACCGCAGTGGAGCAGCAGTGAGCCTGAGAGGTGGTGGCAGGCATAGCAGGGCCAGGATGAGCAGCTCCCACCCAGGGCTCCGGCTCCTCCCCAGCCACCTGCCATTTCACGCACTACCACATTCCTTGGGGTATGTTGGGACTGCAGGTTTCAGCCTGATCCCTGCAGGCCAGGCCGAGGGACCCCATCGGTGCACAAATACATGCACCAGGCCTCTAGTAATTTGTTTATAAATAATAGTCATATATATATATAAACATTGTTGTTATAAAGAATAAAACAAACTCAGAAAAAAACAATCAGAGTATTACTTCCTACACATAAGGCAACTAATGCCCCAGTACCTCAAAGTCCTTTATAAAAGGAGATAGCTTAATAAGTTCTAGGTTCAGGGTATGTTTGTATTACTTTTTCTTCTTCTTTTTCTTTTCATCTACTTCCATTTTAAGCTTAACTTCTTCAGCTGTGAGAGCTCCCAGTTTCTTATTTTTTGCTTTCTTAACCTTTTCCTTGATGGCAGCCACATCAATTTTAGTTTCAGTAGAAGCTAGACAAATAAAAACACAATATGTGTAATTCTTTAGGTTTTTCCAAATAAAATATAAAGGATATGTATTTAGTACAATAATTTCAGAATATTTATATAATTGGAAGGTCATGCTATAAAATATAAAACACCTGCCTAAAGAAAAGTTAGAAATTTAAGAGGAAAAAAAATTAAAATACTTTAAAACATATTAGTGAAAGTACAGGTGAAAATGGTATTATAGTTTATCTATGTGAACCAATTACTGGATTCAACTATTATTAAAACTACATTCCTCACTCCCCTTCAATCATACTTCAAGTTAGATTATTTTTTACTTATATTCTTTTCCACATTTTGGAACTCTACAGCACTCATTAATATGCCAATTTTCCATCTTACCTGTTAAAATAATCTAGACTTATATTTCGTGAAGAATATTACATGTCATCCTTCCAACTTCCATAATTTAATTAACTAATCATGAAATTGTAAGTCAAAATCTTCTCTAATACCACATAAAAATTTAAAGTTTTCCAAATGTTAGTTCTATGAATGACTAGTATTATTTTGTTGGTGTCCTTTGGCTCAAGATAATGAAAAATTCATGGTAACAATATAGGAATAAAACGTAAGCTATAGATCACATGAGAGAAGAAAATCACAACCTCAGAGGAGCTGCTTTTGAAAGGTGTGATAGCAGAGCTCAGGGACCTCACAGCTCTACTCTTATTTTTACAGAAGAGTCACTCTCTGGTTTATATCTTTCAAAACAAAAGGTCCTTCTTTCAAACACATCCAGATCCAGGAGAGGACTATCAGTCTGGGTTCTTACGCGGGGATTAGCTGCTACTAAAGTACAAATTACCCCAGTTGTTTCCTGTCCCTGGGATTAGTGATTAATGAAATGCTAAGTGAATTAACAGCAGATATGGTTATTTCCTTACTGAACACTCAAATTTAGGTAAATTCACTAAGAGTTTACTTTTCAGATAACAGACTTTTATATCACACCAAGAATTGGAAAACAAGATTTACCTTCCTTAGGTTTCAAAACTGGCTTTTCTTTAGGTGGAATAAAAGCTTTGTTTCTTTCCTCTTGTCTCTTAGTGAGAGCTTCTGCTTGTTTAGCCTATTTTAGTAATAAAACATACATTAGTGAAACATAATTTATAGTTAATTAAGAATTCAAGTTTCTATGAACTTTGTTATTAATGTTGTGAGTTAGCCAGTCTTACCTTTATTGCTTCCATTTTCTGTCGCTTCTTTTGACTTGCCTTCAGAAAGTATTCACCACTAGCCAATTCTTTATCAATCTGTTGAAATAATGTAAACGAAAGTCATTTTCTAAGGAAGAAATGTCACAAGGTAAAAACAGAGGCTCAAAAATCTATGATTAATTCATAAAGAGAATGACAAAAGAGAAGGAAACATACTCTAAATTGAATGAAATATGTCCACAAAAGCATGGAGGTAGGAAAGCAGGTGAAGTGTTCAAGGAATACACAGGAGACTGCTTTAAGTAGGGTGGAAGGTCAATAATTCAAAAAGTTTAATAGGAAACTGGAAAAACAGTTTGAGTAAGGTTAAAGAAACTTGAATGTCAGGTGAAGGAGGTAAGACATGATTTAGAAATGACTCAAGTTTCTGAGAAGAGTGAAGAGAGCAAAGCAGAATGTCTTTTTAATATAAGCTATTTTCCCCTCTCAATCCTCACCAGATGACATGCATATAGAGAGGAAGGTAGTGGGAAGAGAAAGAGAGAGACAGACAGACATCAATGTGAGAGAAACATGCTCCCCAACTGGAGATCAAAACCACAACCCAGGTATGTGCCCTGAGTGGGAATTGAACCAGCAACCTTTTGGTGCAGAGGACAAAATTCAACAAACTCAACCACTCAGGCCAGGACTGACCAACATTTTTTAAAGTATAAAAGAATAGAGAAGAGATAAAAATCTAGAATAAAGGGTAGTGGCATGCAAAATAAAAAGCAAGATTGTCAGAATTTGGTGACTAAAACACTAATAAGAGAAAGTTACAGCTCATTCATTCACTATATAGTTGACATTGATCATTTATATATCTTGCACGCACACAGCATTATTGTATCTGAGGCAATGTTCTAAAGTCTTTACAGACCAGAGGTCCGGTGCCAGTGGCCCAGTGGCAGAGTGTGGACCTATGAATCAGGAGGTCATGGTTTGATTCCTGGTCAGGGCACATGCCCAGGTTATGGACTCAATTCCTAGTAGGGGACGTGCAGGAGGCAGCCAAACAAAGTTTCTCTCATCATTAATGTTTCTGTCTTCTCTCCCTCTCCCTTTTCTCTGAAATAAATAAAAATGTATTTTAAAAAATTAAAAGAAAAAAGTAGTACAGCAGGTGTTATAGGACAGGGCTTAGTATCTGGATCACTCCACTTTCCCCCAACTATCAATTTCTTTCTGGCTTCCCTTTCTTCCTTTCCCTGAGGAAACCTCATGATCGAGCACTTGCACTGTTTTTTCACCATAATGACCATCATTCCTTATTTCCTCTGACCTTTCATCAAACCTTCCCTGAAAAACTTCAAGCACAAGGCCGTGGAGGAGGTGGGCAATACCCGGAAAGGGATAGGTTTACATGCTGAGCCTAAAGAACTAGCAGGAAGGGAAGTTTCCAAGGGAGGGAATAAGGAAGCAAGAACCCTAAAGAGATAGGTGAAAAGAGAATTAAAAGAGCAGGTCAAGGAAGAATTGATACACATGGGAAGATGTAGGTGAAAAAAAGGAAGTTGAAAGTTATTGCCTGATGGTCTAAAATATTTCAGTAAAATAAAATTCAATGACATCGGCTAGGAGTGAGAGAGTGCTTAGAAAATTAAGAGGATTCACAGAACTACCAGACAATACTGAGGACCCACCTGAGGTTGGAAACATAAATTTAGAGTGGATATAATTCAAAGTTATGACTCCTTCCATCTATGTCAAGTAGCCACATTATGAAAAAGAAATCGTTTTAGGACTGGTCCAAGTTTAAGAGTTTTGCTGGGCAGGTGTGACAGGAGGAAAAGGAGCATGGAAAAAAACAATGGGAGAGATGGAAAAGGACATTTCGGAAAGGAAACCAGAGGACAATTGACAAAATGAGAGGTATTCTAACTTAGAAAAAAAGGAGAGCTATTAGATTAGAATTTAAGATTTCAAAACTGGAGCAGTAATATATCCTATGGTCATAGAAATTATGCTAAAGTAGAGTAGAGAGTATTTTGAATAGTTGAATTAAAAAAGTATATATATTTTATTGACTTTTTACAGAGAGCAAAGGAGAGGGATAGAGAGTTAGAAACATCGATGAGAGAGAAACATCGATTCAGCTGCCTCTTGCACACTCCCTACTGGGTATGTGCCCGCAACCAAGGTACATGTGCTTGACCAGAATCGAACCTGGGATCCTTTAGTTTGCAGGCTGATGCTCTATCCACTGAGCATCATGGTTAGGACAAATTGTTGAAATTTTTATCCATGGAACATTTACAGTGCTATAGGGATATGGGTGACACCAACCACCTTGATATAGTTAACACTCAGAATATGAAGCCCCCAACCCCATGCACTTTGCTCAAAATAAACCTCTTTACACTTATCTTCAGTTTCCTATATCTCTACATACTCAAACACATACACACATATTAACACAGCAATTTCACCTAAAATACCCTCAATAAAGTTTCTTACCAAATTGATGTAACAGTTTCTCCATCATGTAATGCAATTCAACATTTAATACTTACCTGACTTTCTGGTTGTGGTGGTGGGAATGGTGTATACTCTTTCTTAACAGTTTTTTTCTTTGGTTCCTTGCGTTTATTCACATTTTTGTGCTTGAACTGTGGCAAAAATCTTTCCCAACTTTGTGATCTTAATTCGGAATCTTTTGCCAACTCTCGTTTAATCATTAAGGTCTTTAGTCATGCAATAAACAAACAAGGTAAAAATGTTAATTTCAGAAGTCATACATTTGTCAAATTAAGATATCATAAATATCATTCTTATACATAGATCTTAGTCTCTAAGGTAGGATTAAATCAATTTCACACAAAAAAAGACTAAGTAATCTCAATTTTTAACCAAGCATAAGAAAATTAGACTAAGAAATTTCAAAATTATTAAAATAAATTGAGATGAAAGAGAGACTAATTCAGCTCTTCAACTATTATTTCTTTAAATCTTAAAACTCAACTTAATAGCAGGTAGAATCCTTAATAATGTTCCCTGAAAGCAGGAAGCTTTCAGTAGCACCTGAAATGTCATGTGGGGGGTGTGGTGAGGGGGAAGCAAACCTTCTCATGATTGGACAAAACCAATATTCTCATTTCCTCCAATTCATTTGAGTTTTATAGACATTGGAACACAAAAGGATACAAACCAGGCATTAGATGCATGACTAGTTTTTTTTTATCTTTAATGTCCCAATGTAACTTTGTGCACACAGGGAAAACTGTTCTTTCATGTCAATCTAATATGAGACTTTTAACTTCACAAAATTTAACTGGACTGCTCAACAAATACTCATTCTATATTCCATATAATAAAAGCCTAACATGCTAAGTGTCTGGTTGTTCAGTGACTGGTCTACTGTTCAACCAATCAAAGCATAATATGCTAATGATATGCTAAGGTTGCTCAACTGCTCCCTATGACATGCACTGACCACCAGGGGGCAACACTCTCACTGGTAGGTTAGCTTGCTGCTGGGGTCTGGCCAATTGGGACTGAATGAGATGGGCCAGACATGCTGTGGAACCCTCCCCGTGGTCCCTTCCCAGCTCCAATTGTGCCCCAGTGGGGGTGGGGTGGGGGATGGGGGTGGGTCCCTCGGCTTGGCCTGTGCCCTCTCAGGACCCCTGAAGGAAAACTGTTCTTTCATGTCAATCTAATGTTAGAGAGCCGGTTTCTGCCCAATCTCGCAAGCCACTTCCCTTGGGAGGGTGCCAGACGCAGGGCTCATAGCTGGCGAGTGCTGCTTGGGAATGAGCCTGCAGCAGGTGCAGTGGGGCCAGGATGAGTGGGAGTGGCAGGTAGAAGCTGCAGGTGGAGTTGGACTGTGGGTTTCAGCCTGATCCCTGTAGGCTATCCTGAGGGACCCTACCTGTGCACGAATTCATGCACTGGGCAACTAGTCATAAATAAAACTGCTCATTATAGCACAGTTACCTTCTCAAGAACAGTCATAAACTTTGTGCACACAGGGATATAACATCTCTCCCAAAAGGCTTACAAAACAGATAAAGCAGAGCTATTTTGGGTAAGCTAATTAATTTGAGTATTAAGTCATCTCCTCCCCCAAAGGTTTTAATGCAATTTAAAATATCTGAGGCTTTATTTAAGTAGAAAAAGGCAGAATTCTGAAAGAGCACATCTTTAAATGTAAAGATGGGCTCACAACTTAAGAAAACAGGATTGATATAATCTACGACAAATTCTGTGAAGCCTTTCTTGTATCAGAACTACATAATACACTAGGGACCCAGTGCACGAATTTATGCACCTTGAAAGGAATTGTGGGCCGTGAGGTTGCCATGGGCACAGGGGTGGGTCTTAGCCCATCTCCCACAACCCCACCTGGCCACTCACACCACAACCCTCAGTCTCCTGTCCGCATGCAACTCCGCTTGAACCCGCTGACAGAGTGGAGCAATTGGAGCCAGTGCTAGCAGTGGGTGTGAGTGGGGCTGGTGCTGCCAGTGGGTGCGAGCAGTGGTTGCTGCCCCAATCGCCCCTCAGCAGCAGGAGGAGGTGGAGAAGCCCTCAGGGATGATTGGGGCTGGCAGCTGCCACTCGCATCTGCCAAGTGACTGTGATTGGTGCTAGGTGTGAGCAGTGGCTCCAGTGCCAGCTATGGGTGTGAGCAGGGCTGTCACTGGCAGTGGGTGCGAGTGGGGCTGGTGCTTGTAGTGGGTGCAAGTGGTGGCTGCTGGCTCTGATCACTCCTCAGGAGCAGGGGGAGGTGGAGAAGCAACTGCCACTCGCACCTGCTAATGGCGCCAAGCAAATCGGGGCTGGTGGCGCTCAGGCACTGGCAGTGGGTGCAGGTGGGACCAGTGCTGGCAGCAGGTGCAAGCACCCTGCAGGACTGAGGGGCACAGGAGGGAAGAATTTTCAGTAACCACCAGAGGCTTGTCCCTGATGACAGCAACAAGCACCCCACCTTGGTCTGGTGCCCCCGCTCACCTGCTCCAGCATCCCATTGTGGCCGATACCTGTCATGTTCTGCGCTCTGCCACCTGCTGCCAAAATCAACCATGTTCAGTGTGTATTCCCTGTGGTCGGCGCACATCATAGCAACTGGTCGTTTAGCTGTTCTGTCGTTTGGCCTATTTGCATATTAGGGTTTATATATATAGATTACAGTGTCCCTGTCAATACTGGATTCCACAGAGACCCAAGCTTTTAAGGAAGTAACTTGAAGACTGGGTAGAATTGATTGGGTTGAATTCTACCTCTAATTTACAGAAAATATCTCTACTTTATCTGTTTTGCCCATTCAACTTTTATAAAAAATTTAATTTCAAAAAAGTTTTCTGAAGCTAAAAGAAGTCTGATAACCACTGTTACACAAATATATAATTAACACTCACTTTAATATTATAAATTGGGTGAATATTCTTCATAGTATCTAGGACTACTTTTCGAACCTGAAATTTGCAAAGAAAAACCAATTAGTCATCTATAAATATCTTAATGAACCAGGTAGAAAGGAATTACTTTTATTGCAAAATATCCTACAAACAAGACAATAGTCGCCAAATTGAATAGTTACTTCAATTGCTCTTAGTGGCTACTATATCTTTCATAATAGTTAACCCTGGGTACAATCACGTTACTCAATTTATACTGTGAAAACATGACACATTGAACAAGTGTAACACTCTGCAACTGTAATTTGGGGGGAGATGAATTCAGAGTCAGAAAATGTGGGCTCAAATAATGGGACTGCCACTTTATTTGGGAAAGACACTTAATTTTCCTGTTACAGCTTTCTCATTTGCAATGTGGAAATGAAGATACCTCAAGGGTCTGTTGTAAGAACTAAATAACATATTTACACTTTGAAATTTACAAAGTATTCTATGTATTTAAGTTATTATTGCCCCATGAGAAAGGGTAGATCATATCTAAGAATGAGGTCCAAGAAAGTTCTATTAAAGGCCTTGGAAAGGAAAAAGCAAGACCTCACAGTCAGATCCAGATAACAGTATCAAAGGGAGTCAATTGGAACAGTATCTGCTCAACAGAGTTCCTCATAACAAGTTATTAATAAAATAAATGTTCATGAAAACATTAAATTCAAACAAAAGAAAATGTATCATAAAGGAAAAATTGAGTTTGACCTCGACTAATTGTATACATTTCTGCAAATAACAACATCTATTCAGTTCCCTAATATCTAAGCACATGTAACTAACTACATCATGTTTCTCACATGTGCTACAACTAAGAGCTTAAATACCCATTTAAAATTTGTAGTTGAAAGAGCGAAGGTGTGAAGAACTAACTGAGATGTGTGTAACTGTCAAAGGTTGGTCATAATATGTTAATGTCTAGGAGCAATGACTCCCTCAAATTCCATGAAGTACAAAGTATTTACTAATGAAAAATCAAAGAAAGCACATCCTAAAACAATACAATAATCATAAAACCATATATTATAACCAAATTGTTTAATTTGTTCTCTGCTGAAAATTAACTGAAGATATTAAGTCTCACCTCCTTTAAGCCACTAAAGGGTCCAATGGCTGAAACCGTGTTTCCCTGAACCATAATGTAACAGTTTGTTAAGAGCTCCAATGCCTGTATCAAAGGACAGTAAGGTGAAATTCAGTTGAAATACACTGAAAAACTAATGACAAAAAAAGATACTAATTTTCTACAGGTAAAAAGTACCTTTAATGTAGATCCTTTGGGACCAATAAGCCGTTGTCTTCTTTTTACAAATCTTTCTTTATTTCTTACTAATGAACCTATTTTAATGATGTCACATGCAATATCATCCTGAAGAATTCGTACTGCCTTTTGGGAAAGAAAAAAAAATTCCACCAATATTCTTTACAAATACATTTCTTTTCAAAGTCAACACTGATATCTAAGCAGAATAATGGAAACTCTATGGAGGGAGGGAGGAAGGGGAAGAAGGAGAGAAGGGAGGGAGGGACGGGTGGGTGGATACAGTGGGTGGATATATCTCTAATGGCACAAAGAAAACAAAATCTCTGTAACTGTAAATTTACCTGTTCAAATGAAACACTCCTTGCTAACAGTTTTATTAGGTCTCTGGCCCTAATGATGATGTATGGATCAAAAGTCTTCTTTGTTGTACAAACAGTCATGCTGCCCTCGATCAGGTCCAGGGTTGCATTAACATGCTACAAAAAGGAAAGAGCAAGCAAGCTGCATAAAAATGAGTTCAGTTTTAGATACTTATATAACCTATCCTAATCTAACTAGTAATTACTAGGAATTAATCTCTCTAAAATTCTATCAACCCACTCCTTGAAGAAGCTGGATAGATAATATAAAGAATGCTTGATTACTTTCATACTTCAAAGAATATAGAAACTCAGGCAGTTGAAACTATTTATACTTACTGGAGTTTAGAATACTTTGTACTTACTGGAATAAAGATAATCTCTAGTTTAAAAAATACATATCAATCCAAATGAAGCGATACTTATACTCACATGCTATTTTCTCACATATAAGCATATTCTGAAAAATACTTAAACATAGTGAGTGATGAACTATTCAACATAAGGCTGGATCTGTATGAATTTATGAGAGAGAGAGAGAGACACCACATGCAGACAGCTAAGAAACATTGCTTGCAGTTTGCAGAGTCACCCTCATATTCAATGGGCACAAATGAGAAATGAGTCCAGAGCAGTCTCTCAGTTTGAGAAATATATTTCATGTTACAACTAGTACACATACATATCCTATATAATAAAAGCTTAATATGCTAAGTGTCTGGTCTACAGGTCAGCTGTTCAAACAATCGAAGTGTGATATGCTATAGATATGCTAAAGGCCACTCAACCACTCACTATGACGTGCACTGACAACCAGAGGGCAGACAGATAGGTTAGCTTACTGCTGAGGCCCTGCCAATTGGGACAGAGCAAGACAAGTCAGAAATGCCTTGGAGCCCTCCCATAGTCCATCCCTGGCTGACCAACTTCCCGTGTCCCTTCCTGGCCCTGATTGTGCACTGGTGAGGTCTCTTGGCCTGGCCTGCGAGACCCCTTGGGGGATGTTGGAGAGCCAGTTTAAGCCCGATCCTGTAGGCCAGGCCAAGGGACCCCAGTGGTGCACAAATTCATAAAATGAATCAAAAGCTTCATAAAATCATCCTTACCACATGTGACACATTCATTTTTTAAAGACTCCTTATATCCACTAAATTGACTTTTGGAACCACTAATGGATTTCAACCCACATTTGAAAAACAAAAACAAATATATCACTCTAGGGGCATGGCAGCAGCAACAAACAGGAAAAAGATGGCACATCCACATCTTACATTTAAAATGAAAATTAATGGAATAATGGAAACTCTAAGGATGAAAGGAGGAAGGAAGGGAAGGGAAGAAGGGAGGGAGGGAAAATTAATCAATTAGATAGAAACATGTCTGACTCAAACTGTGCAGGTTTGTGACAATCACCATAGTACAAAATAAGCATTCTGAAACGTGTGAGTTCACAGATGAGTTTCAGACAGTCCATCAAATCCCTACAATTTTAAAGATATGTGCATTTTTCAGTAATCTATTATTCACAAAATTAAAAACACAAGTATTACGATAATACAGCTTATGTAGGCTGTTTAAAATACCAAAGGAACCAAATTAGTCAATTATGCTGGCACCTTAAAAAAATCTATAAGCACATGCACATTTACTTAAAAGTAAAGGTAAAGGCAGAAGCAAAATCTCAAAGTAATATATAAAATATGCATACATGTTCATTCAAGGCTTTTTGAACCAACGGCCAGCACTCTTTCAAGTAAGCCTCTCTATATTTTGGGAACAAAGTTGCAAAACTGCTTTCCTCCAAGAGTCCTCTGGGATTGTCCTCTTTGGAAAAAGCTGGTTCCTTCCAACCATCAGGAACAGTGAGGAGTTCTGACTCATCTACGGGAAAAACAAAATGAAACACACATTAGATTTTAGCCCACTTTTATATGCAGAATAGGGTCCCTAGGCCTGGCTGGCTATAGGGGCCTTCCTTCGTTCCACGTCACCCCCAGTTGGTCAACCCATATCACAGCGAGCGATCGAACCCCCGAGGGGACACTCTGCATTAGCCTTTTATATACGGACTACAGGCCAGGTGCACGAAATTCACGCATGGGGCGGAGGGGGGAGAGGTGGCCCTCAGCCCAGCCTGCACCCTCTCTAATCTGGGACCCCTCGTTTAAACCGGTAGTCGGACATCTCTCTAACAATCCAGGACTGCTGGCTCCCAACTGCTCTCCTGTCTGCCTTCCTCATTGCCCCTAACTGCCACTGCCTGCCAGTCCGATCACCCCCTAACCACTCCCCTGCCAGCCTGATTGATGCCTAACTACTCCTCTGCCAGCCTGTTTGCTCCCAACTTCCCTCCTCTGCCTGTCTGGTCATCCCTAACTGCCCTCCCCTGCAGGGTTTATCGCCTCCAACTGCCCTCCCTTGCAGGTCTGGTCCCTCCCAACTGCCCTCCCCTGCTGGCCATCTTGTGTCCACATGGGGGCAGACATCTTTGACCACATGGGGGCAGCCATATTGCATGTTGGAGTGATGGTCAATCTGCATATTACTATTTTATTAGATAGGATAGAGGCCTGGTGCATGGGTGGGGGCAGCTGGTTTGCCCTGAAGGGTGTCCCAGATCAGGGTGGGGGTTCCCTTGGGAAGTGGGGCAGCCTGGGCGAGGGCCCTGTGGTATTAGGTCTAGTAATAATTAATGTCGTTTTCTAATACTTTTTTAAATCAAATTTATTTAAACAATACAACAAAATTTAATCAACAATATAGTTGCCGTGGTTTTCTACTACTTGTGCCCAACACTCAGGAAGCATTTTAATCCCCTGTAAAATTCTTGTGATTTTGATGCAAAAAATTCGGTCAATGCATTTTTGAGGCATTCTTCATTATTAAATTTTTTTCCAAGAAGAAAGTTTTGCAAAGAACAAAACAAATGGTAATCAGAAGGGGCAATATCAGGAGAATATGCAGGTTGAGGGAGTACTTCCCATTCCAACTGGCGCAGTTTTTCAGCAGTGATTCTTGCAGTATGCGGTCGTGCGTTATCGTGGTGAAGAATTACGCCCTTCCGATTAATCAGCGCGGGTTCTTTTTCTCTTAAAGCTTGGGCTAATCTTTCCAATTGGGCACTATACACTGCACTTGTAATGGTTTGGTTAGATGGTAAAAGTTCATAATGAAGAATTCCTTTAAAATTCCACCAAACACACAACATCACTTTTTTCGCATGCAAGTCAGGTTTTGGCGTGGGCTGCGGAGCCTCATTTTTGTCCAACTATTGAGGCCGCCTTTTCAAATTAACATACAGCACCCATTCTTCATCTACGGTAACAATTTGCTCTAAAAACGGCAAACGGTTTTGACGAGAGAGGAGCGAACTGCAAATTGTGACTCTTTGATTACGGTTGTTGTCGGTCAACTCATGAGGAACCCATTTTCCAAACTTTTGGACTTTGCCAAGTGCACGCAATTGATTGGAAATTGTTTTTTGTGAACAATTTAAAGTTGTCGCAAGCTCTTGTTGGGTAATTTGAGGATTTTGCACCAAAAGAGCTTGAAGAGCTTCTTGATCAAAATTGGACACACGGCCTCGACCACTCTTGTCATCTAACGAAAAATTTCCCTCGCGAAATTTCTCAAACCAACGCTGGCATTTTCTGGCGCTAACTGCATCTTGACCAAGAGCACTACAGATGTTTTTTGCAGCCTCACTTGCTTTTCTTCCTAATTGGAACTCGTAAAGCATGCAGTGCCGAATATGCTCTTCATCCGCCATCTTCTTAGCCCTAGTTTTGCAACAAAAACCAAACCAAACACAAACTTTTTCAAGCAAAACTTGTTAATTGCACTTCACACGTTCTGTAGATACCACGTGTTTGAAGGTTATGTCAATACAAGTCAACGCCAAGCAAGATTTTAAACGAATGTTTAAAAACGACATTAATTATTACTAGACCCTAGTTTGCAGGCCGGCCACATCCCCTGGTGACCCAAGCGGAGGCCCTGGTATCTGAATTTATTTACCTTCTACAATTTAAACTTTGTAGCCTGGAGGGGAGCCAAGCCTCCTGCTTGCTCTGTGGCTGCCGCCATTTCTGTTAGGATTTGTTTACTTTCTATAATTGAAACTGAACCTCTGGGCCAAGGCACAAGAACCTCTGTTTTAACAATCTCATCAGGAGATTCTTTTGCACACTAAAGTCTGAGAAGCAGGTCTTGATAATCCATGTTATCCAATTCAGTCAGGTAAACCTGCTTTCCGTTCTTACTTACACTTTGCTTTTTCTGGATGAAATCACAGAGAATTAAGTAATCTTCATATATCATTACTTCCCAATATCCTTAATAAAAGCTTGAAATCAACAATTGTAATTATTTAAAATGTAAGTTCTTACCCAATTTAAATACTTCAATGGCTATGAATTTAAAAACTGGCAAAAAAATATATAGAAATTTCACAACAGAGGAAGTAAATACAAATAGCCCTAAAACATGTGAAAAGATGTGCAATCTTACCAGTAATAAGAAAAGTTCAAAAAATAAAACCAACTAGATTTTAAAATCCGGACTGTTTTCAAACGCTGAGGGACGCGGGGCAAGGTGTTAAAAATCGGGACTGTCCCGCCGTCTGGTCACTTTAATTTAAAGGCAGGGCAGTCTAAAGAAAAGGAGCCGTGTCGTCTAATATTTTAACCATTTGATAAACAATAATAATAAATGATGCAATTCCCCCCTCACCCCCAGGAACTCACACTAGCATTCAGGACACGCCAGATACCTCCTCATTCATTCATTACCAGCGTTCACCTCAGTAAGAACCTCCTACTCCCACCGCATCCCTCATTTTGGCAGCTACTTCCGCCATCACTGCGAGTCAAAGGCTCTGCAACGCCCTCCAAAATATTTTAATAATTCCCACTTTACGGAAAACGAATTCCGCAACACTTTCATTCTGGGAGCCTTCAGCAAAAGCGATTAGTTAGGAACACGTGACCGGCACCCTATCCGCCAGACGGTTTCGCAGGCCCGGCCAATACCCCTAAAAACCAGCTCTTCTAGGTACCCAATTCCAGAGAAATTGGAATGCGTTACACGATCGCAACTAAACCTCCACACCCAGGCTCTGGCGCTCACACCATCTCACCTCGGTTCTCCTGCTTCTGCTTCTGGTTACGAAATCCACTTTTCCCAGCCGCCGGGACCGGCCCGTTCGCCTTGGAGGTCGCCATGTTCGAAACGCTCCCGTTACTACCGGAAGTGGAACGGTTCTTTAATCCTTCCGGCTAAAGTCCCTGGACTCGAAATGAGTTCCGCAGAACCCAGACGAGGACATCTGCACAGTCTCCGTGCGCGCCTACGCTAGAACCCGCGGATTTGTGTCAACTGCAGCGCTTCTTTCACGTAGCCCCGCACTTCTTTCCCAGAATGCAGTGCAACCACGGAGTTTGGCTGAATGCTGGGAATTGTAGTTTAGCTCTGTAGGCAAGTTGGAGACGGCGGGGGGGGGGGGGGGGGGTTTGTCTGTAATTTTCCCAGGGCCTCAGAGTCTAAGCCGGGCTGACCCACTCAAAGGTTTGGCCGAAGAGTGCAGCCTTTCACTAAAGTCATTCCTTTGGTAAATATTTATATGATAGTCAAATATGTGATAGACGTTGGGAGAAGGTACTAATATGAGAAATATGGTTCTCAATGGCAAGAGGTGACAGTAATAGCTTCCATTTACTGCGAGATTACTTTGTGCAAGGTACTTTATGTGTATTGTTTCTAATCCTTAAAACAAGACCAGAATTATACATTGAGAAAACCAAGGTTTAAATAAAAACCCATAGACTTATAATTTTTTTGAAGATTAGTTTTCAAAGTCCTTGTTTCTGAAGGTGATTAGGGTATTTGTATTTCTCTTTCTACGCTAGAAGGATAGCAATGAAGCATTACTTCTGAAGTATTTCACTTAGCCTAAGACTTCCCAAAATGACTAGCTCCTGCTACCATTACACTGCCTATTAGCTTACTTCAAGGTGTGAGGTTCACCACTACTACAAATCTTTATACTTCTAGGAATCTAAAAGTTCTTAGACTCACTAAAGATAACACTAATTTTGATGATTGTTTTTATTGCTTGCTATTTAAAATTTATTTTGCAGAATAGAAAAAGTTTGATAGGTTGAATTCCTCACATCAATGAAATGGGAAACAATTATCTGAAATCTATTCTTGTGCATCTTCTAGAAAGGATTCTTATAAGGTATATGTAGAAGAGAGACTGTTACCTAAGATAGAAGAACTCAAGATTATGTTAAGATTTTTGCTGTTATCCTATGTGTCTTATAAATGACAGGCAATGGTTTCATCTTTATATTCTTACAATCTGCTAAAAAAAAAATGTTGACAAATTCCTATAACAGAACAAATAACAGATGAAAATTATAAGGTGAGAAGCAATCCTTCAATGTTCCCAGAAAACCTAGGAAGCAGGTTTTTTTTTTTTTAATTTTTATTACCCTTATTTAAAGAACTCAGTCATTAATAAATAGTGAGTTAGACTTCATGTCTAGGTAGTCTGTATAATTGCAAGGAAGGCTGGGTTTTCAGCCTCATTGCTTTTAGACTTGAGCTGCATCAGCCACCCTTCTCTGTGTCTTCAGCCTGCTGAAGATTTTGGGCCTTTCAGGCCTCCGTAATCACATGGCTATTATATAAATGCTTTGGAGAACCCTGTCTAATACAGCAATTTATAGTAAATACAATAGCGAATAAACATATTATACTTAATCTCATTATTGTCAGAAAAGCATATAGATATCATTTTTCAGTCACCAGATCAGCAAAAAAAAAATAAATATATATATATATATATATTGTGTTGGAGGAGAGGGCAGTCTTATACAGGCTGATAGAAATGTCAACTCTTACTGCTTTCTTGAAAAACAATCTATCAATAAAAATATATACATATTCTTTCACAGTAATTTCCCTCCGGGGAAATTGTCAACTAGGAATAAAGCACCATTCCATTAGGAAGAATGTACAATTGTGTTGATTATTATCTTGTATAGAACTAGTTCAGTGAAAGGTACTTTGGAGTCACACTGACCAGTTTAGTGCCTACTAGCTGTATAGGCTCGGGCAAATTTCTTACTCACTCCTGTTCAGTTTCCTACAATGGAGAGAATAACCTTAACTCAGTGACTTTATACATGTCAAGTGCTGAAGAAGTGCTTTGCATATGAAACACACTCAATAAGTATTAGCTATTATTTATTTAGAGTGGCAAAAAAATAAAAACAACTATCAATTAAAGATAAGTAAATTCATGTTACCTTCGTAACCATGAGACTTTATGCAACCGCTCATAAGAATTAATTAAATATATGCCGAGAACCCAGCCGGTGTGACTCAGTGATTGAGCACTGACCTATGAACCAGGAGGGTATAGTTTTGATTCCCAGTCATGCTGGGTTGTGGGCTCAATTCCCAATGGGGGCATCAGGAGGCAGTGATCAATGATTCTTTCTCATAATTGATGTTTTTCTTTCTCTTCCTCTCTGAAATCAATAAAAATATTTTTAAAAATGTATATGTGTGTGGAGAGTTTATCCAGGGGCATTGAATGATAAAAATTAGATTAAAAAAATGGGATAACTATATGTAATTATAATTATCCTATACAATAAAAGCTTAATATGCTAAGTGCCCAGTCGTCCGTTCACCAATCAAAGGGTAATATGCTAAGGCCACTCAACCGCTCACTGTGAGGTTCACTGACCACCAGGGGGCAGACATTCTGACTGGTAGGTTAGCTTGTTGCTGAGGTCCAGTCAATTGGGACTGAGTGAGACCTGGCCAGACACCTTCTAGAGCCCTCCTGAGGTTCTTCCCTGGCTGGCCAACCTCTCGCATCCCTCCCTGGCCCTGATCATGCACCAGTGGGGTCTCTTGGCCTGGCCTGTGCCCTCTTGCAATCCAAGACCCTTCGGGGGATATTGGAGAGACAATTTTGGCCCTATCCTGCAGGCCAGGCAGACGGACCCGCTGATGCATCAATTCGTGCACTGGGCCCCTTGTATTAAAATAATTAAATTAAAATTATGTATAAATGTGAAATTCTATTTTATAAAGCAAATCAATATTTCATTCAACTATTTATTCAGCATCTGTAATGTTTCAGGTACTGTTCTAAATATTTGGTTCTGTTCTGTGTGCTGGACATATTAATTATAATTATTATTTTACTTTATTCAGATTCTTAGTATTTTTTCTTTTTAAATATGTTTTCTTTATTTAAAAAATGTTTTTATTGACTTTAGATAGAGGAATGGAGAAGAATAAAGAGATAGAAACATTGATGAGAGAGAAACTTTATCGTCTGCCTGTTGCACACCTGACACTGGGGATCAAGCCTGTAACCCGGGCATGTGCCCTGCCCGGGAATAAAACCAGTGATCTTTTGGTTCATGGGTCGGTGCTCAACCATTAAGCAACACTAGCTGGGAAGAAACTTAGTATTTTTCAGAATTAGGAGTGAGTATTTTCTGTATGCCAAGCACCATACCAGGGGCTGGAGTGTAATCTGACTGAGAAGCAGTTGGCCTGGGAGAAGCTCCATATGAATGATGATGATAAGACATGGTGTGAAAGGCCTGGCAACCTGGGAGGAAATGATTGAATAGAAGGGCTCTGTGAGTTCAGTGAAAATTTCTGGCTTTAAAAAATAAGTCCACATTAAAAAAAAAAAAAAAGCGATATATGGTGGCTGAAGGAAGATGACATCACTAACAACAAAAGCAAATCACTCCTGTACAAGATTTTAGAATGAATACTATGCAGCAACAAAACATATATTTTGAAAAAATTAATAGGAATGAGATAATTGCTTATATAAATTAAAAGAGCTCATCAAGTATATATGCTGATCATATTTAAAAAAACTTTTTTTATGAACTTAGATGGCATTATACAGCTACCGAGTTGTAATCTTCAATTAAAAAAATTATATTTTCCTGTAGATATGGTTGAGAGGATTTCATACATATGTTTTGGATGTTATAATACATGTTACTAATACATTTTTTAATGCCAGCATATACTAGTAGTGTACTGAGGCAGACAGGTTGTTCCCAACACTTTCTCTACTGCGGTGGTGGGACCCTGGGTGTGACTAAGGTGTCTAATACTCCCTGAAATACTGCACTGGGATCTAGTCTCTGTTTTTTACAGTGAGAAATGACAAGACAGTGACTTGCACTGGCCCTCATCCATAAACATTGAATCTTAAAGAACTTAACGCGGTCTAAAGGCAAGCCTGAAACATGTCTCAGTTTGGTGCTGATTTTCACTGCGGAGAAAACGCTGAGCCTTGCAGCTCTCATGCCATTTTTCACTGGGCCACCAGGGGACAGTGTGTGTCCGCTTGGGACAGTGACACTGCTCCGGCTCCAAGTTTCCTATGTTAACTGGCCTTCAGAACATTTTTTCTTACCTCAAAGTATTTCTTGAAGGAATATCTACTTGTTTTTCTTACTCAATTTCATTTCGAAGCTAATGAAAATCCACTACCAGTAGCAAATATATGTTGAGCCTCTGAAAGGAAAATGTCCCTTGTGACAAAAATAGTCATGAAAAATGATCTGTGCAACTCCTGTCTGTGTCCACCTCTATCTTTCATCTTTATCCCTCTTGTCATGCGTAAACCTTTGGGGGGAAAAAACCGACCCTCTGTGTAATGTATTAGAGGAAATTGTCCATCCTGCAGCCCTTTTTTGTGATATGAATCTTTCAGTAGCAAGTGGTTCACTCATAAGATTGTGGAAATGTCATTAAACCTCTGAGAGACATGATAAATTTGTTGGATAGTGGATCTCAGGAAGTGTGAGAAAGTTTCATCATGGTTATGATAGTTTCCATACTGTCCACTACGCTCCAAGCATTGAGTTAGTTTTGCCCTGGAGAATATGAATTGAGTCCTTGGTTTTCTAAAAACAGCATTAGGGCCAGAAGAATGAAAAATGGTTATAATTGTGAAAGGAAGATAACTTTAATAAATCAACATCCTGCCTACAGCAGGTCTCCACTCTGTGCAATATTTTCACCACTCAGCCATCTGAGAGAAGACTGAACACCTTGGTTCTGGGATATTTCAGGCCCCTAGCCCAGCACCTGAGAGTGAAGACGTGGCACATACCATACAGTGAGTCAAGTGGGGACGCAGGGTCACAGGTTGAGAATGTATATGAAATTTAGATACTATGGTGTTGTTCAGATGTGAGGTCATAAAGAAAGGCTCTTTGTCCTCTGCCAGGCTCTTTGCAAACACTGTCCTTCCCAGGGCACCTCAGGCCAGGACAGGCCTGGGCCCAGGGTTTCCCCAAATCACCTCTGCTTTGCCTTCTCTTGCTTTCTTGCTTACTCGGCTTCCCTGGTTATCCTGATACGTAGCTTTAAAGGTGCACCCTTGGTCTCTTTGAAAAACCCACTGTGTCTGCCACCTCTGGTTGGCCTACTGTCACCATGCTCATGGTTCTGACACTGTTGTAATTGCTGAGTCACCCACAACTCTAGGAAAGACACAGGCTCTGCTCTCTGACAGTGAACACACACACACACACACACACACACACACACACACACACAAGCACCCACACACACACACACACACACACACACACACACACACACACACACACACTCCCAAAGTGTCGACTCAGACGTTCACTAAAGTGGGAAGAGACAGGAACAGATTCAGGGCCTTGCAGGCACATTGGTACAGACAAAGAGCCCATCAGCAATCCCCATTTCCACTCTGCAAGCCCTGTCCTGGGGTGTGATTCAGACAGGACCACCAGGTGTGAACCGTACAGCAACCTGATCTTGCTCAGGACGGGCCCTCCCTTCATGTCCCTCCTCCTGGCACATGAAGGGGATTCTAGGAGCTGCCCAAAAAGTGCTCACAGAAGTAGGGTGACTGCATTGCCCTGACCTTGGTTGCTACCATTTCTGTGACGAACCTCCTAAAAATTGTCCAGGTATTTTGAGGATGAAGATCCAGCCCAAAGTTTACAGCATCTGAGAAGGGTTTCATGTTGGGCTTGTCAATTGGTAATTTGTGAAACAGCAAATAAAGAAAATGTTTTGTTCTCTAGTCTCTTGCCAAGTGAGCTGGCTTTGGGGAAGTTTCTAGAATGTGGGCACCTGGAAACAAGAGTTCCAAGTTCTGTTGGGGCCAGTTACCAAGTCAGTGACTTCGCTTCCTGAAGTTTCTTTCTTCGAGCATCTCCTCAAATCACAGGTTTCTAAATAGTTCTTTTGGTTCCTGGCTTCTAAACCCCCTTGTTTATGCAAAACCATATTTTTAGTGTCACCAACATTCTTTCCTCTCTCCACAGCTGACTGGGAAGTTGCTGTGCAGTGAGGAACCCCACTTTGAAACAAACTGGGGGTGTTCAGACTCGCCCCCACATTCTAAGCTCTTCTGGGTTCTGGATAAGCCATTGTGCTTCTCATGGCCTGTCTGTCTCCTGTCTGCACAATGGAGGTTATTCTAGCAAGCTCTCCCTAGGGATGTCCACAATCTTATGTGGGATATTACTTATAAAATTTGAAAAGTGCTGTCAAATGTATATAGTACTTTCAACTTCTATGTTCTTCTCGTTACTTCCTGTGTATGCCCCTCTTCAGATCCTGCCCCCAGTCCTTACTTCAAGTGTGTGTGTGTGTGTGTGTGTGTGTGTGTGTGTGTGTGTGTGTGTTTCCAGGCCAGTGATCTGCATTCCCAGAAAATAATGGCCTACATAATAAGCAAGAGCTTCCCAAAACATTTGGATTTCTGATTTTTAATGCCAAAACTTTAGGAACAGATAGAGCCTTAGCCTGTCAGGTCAGAACACTCTGACCTCTGGAGTCTGCTTGCCATTTACCCTGTATAGTCCCAGTTCCTTGTGGGCCTGTTTCCCAAGCATTAAAATAAGGATTGAAATTCAGAACTGCATACGTGTGAGCTCAGCATAAGAAATATTCCAACTGCATCCACACTGAGGTGTTGGCAGGGGTCATGCCATCTCCATGCCTGTGCATGGTCACAGCAGCACAGCCTTTCCCAGAGCCCCTCAGAAGGCCTAGGGGCCACCAAAGCGCCACTTGGCAAACACAGAGAGGGTTCATCCTGGCTCTGCATCTGACCGGTCTGTGATTCTGGGCACGGCACGAACCGCTTGGGGCCTTCCCCTTGTCTCCTCAGTGGCTGATTGTCTCCAAGTTCTTGTTGGCTCACCCTCTTTTAATCTTTCCTCTCATCCTCAAAGTCTATAGCCGTTTTCCAGGAGGTCCACTGATGTAACACGAGGTGACCAGTGCCAGGCCAATGCAGGCCATGCTGCCTCTGTGAGCAGCTCCCTCAGAACCTCTTCTCTGTGCCAGCAAGAGGGACATGAAGAGAGGGTCTGCTCCATGGATGAACAGGTTGCTGTGTGGTACATAACCTGGTGGTCCTGTCCAATCATGTGCCCGAACAGGGCTTGCAGGGTTAATGTGGGGATTACTGAAGGACATCTTATCTGCGCAAAAGCATCTATGAGACCCTGAAGCTGTCATATCTCTTTCTGTTTGGTAGAGGCCTGAGCTGGTGTGTGTGTGTGTGTGTGTGTGTGTGTGTGTGTCTTTACCATCAGAGAGCAGAGCCTGTCTCTTACCTGGAAGGTAGGTGCCTCAGTAATAACTTCAGTGCCGTGTATGTGAGTGTGGTGAAGGAGGCCGATGAGAGATGCAGACACAGTGGGGTCATCAAGAGGATGAAAAGGTGTACCCTGGGATCTAAAAAAATAACCACTTATCAGGGAGGCCAGAGTAAGCAAAAGTCGGCAAAACAGGTGGTGATTCTGGGAAAATCCCGGGAACAAGTTTGTTTTGCTTATGGGTGCATTAGGAAGGACAGCTCTTCTACTTTATTGTGTCAAACCCATGCTCATGTACTATTTTTTTTTTTTTTCAGCTGTGACTCCAGACAGGATCCAGAGAGGAGTTTTGCCACCTCTTCTCTGGGTTTTATGGAGACTTGCTTCATGTACCCTTCTGTGTTAGCCTCTTAAGGCACTCAGTCAACCTTAAAAGGGTCATGTACTATTTTGATGAAAGCATTTTAAGAAAAAAAATGCTGTTACATACATACTACTGGTACTCTGTAAATATACAACTGAAGCCTCAAACTGGTAGTCAATAGATGGCTTTTGTTTGGCCTCTACTGTATTGTTTAAATAGCCAATATTGTAAAAATGAAATATTTTGCATAAAAGTCCCATTTTCACTTTTTTCCCCCTGAAAAAAATCAGAAAATTTGGCAGCAACAAGCCTTCCTTTGCATATGATAACAGTCAGCTATCCTTGGATGCTGCCCACTTTAGACAAAGTATGTGCTTTTCATTTTGTCACATACTTCATTCCCTGCTACTCCCGAGTGCCCAAGGCCTGCTTTCTTATTGGCTACTGGCTTGCTTTTGTAGGCATCGGAGTTTGTAACACCATATGTATGGTGATAAATAACCTTTAGTGTTTTCTGCCGTGGTATTATCAGCATACCAAGCACAAGTGGAATCTTCGTTAAGAGGTGTTGGTTTAGCGTTGGTATGAGCCTGGTTCCACTGATTCTCACTGAAGGGAGAGAACGGCTCCTCATGCATCAATTTCTAATAATTTATATGCCAGGCACTGTTCTAAGTAATTTACATGTTTTAACTAAGTTAATTCTCACAACAATCTAATGAAATAGAGAATCTACACTAATAAAAGAGAAATACGCAAATAGACCATATTTGGGACACTCACAAGCCAATCAGGAGCAAGTATGCAAATTAACCCAACAAAGATGGCAGGTTAATTTGCATATGCAGGTGTGGAGTGGCTGGGCAGTGTGGGACACCTACTATGAGGGGGAGGGCAGGGGGCAGAGGGAGCTACAGGGGCGGTGCTCTGGCCAGAGTGGAGAAGACTGAAGGTGGTGGCCAGAGTGAAGGCCTGGGTCCCAGGTGCTGGAGGAAAACCTGTGCTGGCAGCCAGGGGAAGGAAGGCCTATTGCACGAATCTTTATGCAACAGGCCTCTAGTGTTATGTATAATAATCTGTATATTTCTACAGATGCAGAAGCCAAGGCATAGAGAGGTTAAGCAATGTACACAATGTCACACAAGTACTATCCACAAATCATTTAATTTTAACCAATATTAAAATAAAAAATCATATAGTTTGTTCAATTGGTCTCTGTGTCAGCCTAGACTGTTTCTGCTCTGCATATCAGAAAGCTATCTCAAACCAGCTGTAAGACAAAATATCTAAAATGCAGATGAAACCTGGGATGGCTCATTCAATAGTGTCTGCCTATGGACTGAACAGTCCGAGGTTCAATTCCAGTCAATGGCACAGCTATATGCTTTGGGAGAATAAAATCAGCCAGCCACTCCATGCCCACGAAAGGAAAGGATCAGAGTCACCTGCCAGTTTCTGGCCTCAACCCTGCCTCCTGGCAGACTCTTAATTTGTTCCCAGTTCCTGCAGAGCGTTCCTCCTACTCCCATTCAACTAATGAGAACATTCTGCATAGGGGACTTAATGCTAGTCTGCCTTGATCCTAGAGCTTTAACCTAAATGCACACTCCAAGCACCCGCCAGCTCACCAAGTAAGGTGCACAGGGCCTCCTGTGTTGATAATCATCTCAGATCCTCTTCATTAGCTCCTAAACTGCTTCCTCTCCACATTCTCCCCTGTTTCCTTCCCGAATGTCCCTTGACCTTGGTGCTTGCTTTGGATCATTCCGACCCTGATGTTTGCCTCCCTCTCAAGGGCTCTCCCTTGGGTTCATTGCCCACACCTGTCCTGGGCAGCCCTGTGGTCCCCGCCAGCTGGACAGCCGCTCTCCTGTCTGCTTGATCCTATTTGCTTGATGAGCCCACTCAAGGCCACAGAATGCTGTATTCTGTACATCCTCTGGATTTTTAATCCTCTGGAAGAAGTCTAAATGGAAAAGCACCCAGGAATTAAAAATGAGAGTCATGCAAATAAAAAGAGCCAGAAATCTCCCAAGAGACTCGCAGAGTGATAGCGACCTGATGGGTTTCCATGGTGCAGCATCTGACCTTGCAGGTGACCGTATGCATCTTGTCAGTGGGATGTAGTTAGAGATGTTGGTTTCACTACTGAAATGTCACAAGAGATTGAAAACTATAAATAGCAATGACAATTTATTATTTTACAAAGGAAGTGGAATTATAAAAGGAACTATAATAGATACTTGAGCCTTTTTGCTAGCATAGTCTCTCCTTTTCTGAAAACTTGCAATTTTGGCTCATTCTATAAGGCACTAAGGAAAAAGGCGACCAAACAGGAAAATAATTTCTGTAGTTCTCAGAGCAACAAGGTTGCCACTGATGAACTAAAGTTTCGTGGTCCGCAAATTGCGGCTCGAGAGCCAGATGCTGCTCTTTGGCCCATTGAGTGTGGCTCTTCCACAATATACTACGGCCTGGGCGAGTCTATTTTGAAGAAGTGACGTTAGAAGAAGTTTAAGTCTAAAAAATGTGGCTCTCAAAAGCAATTTCAATCGTTGTACTGTTGATTTTTGGCCCTGTTGACTAATGAGCTTGCCGACCACTGAACTAAACCATTGGATGTCAGGCAGCGCCACCTTGTGGTAGCTCCAAGTGTCCACTGAGTAAGAAAGGGCAGGTTCAGTATGTGAATGGTGATCTGAGTGCCTTAGTAATTCACAAAAGTGTATTTTGTGTAACATACATAGGAAAGTCAAGGACCGCCTCTACTCTTTGCACTGTATTAACATGTTTAGATTTCTTACTGCCCTCAGAGCTGTCCCGGTCTCGCCCACCTCAGAACCATGTTGTCTCTCTGAGCTGACCGCGTATCTCTGAGCAGTTAATGCAGTGTATGCAGTTATGGAAATTTCTTTCCAAGTGCTCAGGGGACAATTCACCATCTCCCCTGTGGTCGGACCGGGTGGCTGCCTGCTGTTACGAGGGCCCAGGAGGTGGGACCAGGCCAGCGCTTTGTGATGCTGTTGGAGCCTGAGCCATGACCAGCCCCTTTCTTCCTGAGTCTCTTGAATAATCCATGTGGTTCTGCTGGGCCACCTTCCACCCCCCAAGTATTGCTTTGGACTGCCAGAGACCTGTTTATCTCTGAAGGACATTTCTAGTGCTCCCCCCCACCCTTTGCTTCATATTTGGATATTGAATTACCTGGCTCATCCCCATTGTGATTTTTCAGCTGGTGTCTAGCTATTATATGTGCTGCCTGTCGTAGTGCTCTGTGCTTTCCGATCCAGTTTCTATTCAGACCTGGGATGGAAGGTCTAAAACAGACTGAATCTCTTAACCATATTTGGCCTTTGATCTTCTCTGCCAGGAAGGTGCTGGCTCTGATCTCCTCCCAGTGCCTCTGCTTGCTTCTCTCCGGCTCCCTGCACCCCTGCCCCCGGCATGCTGTGGGCCGGGCATTCCACATGGAAGATTCCAAACCCATGATGGGCCAAACTCGTCCAGGCCCAGAAAACAAATTTCTCTTCAAGCCAATCTGAGAAAGTTTCCCTGTCTAGATGCAGCCTCATCCCGTAGCATGGCTCTCCAGGGCTGTGCTTAATGTCACAGAGGAGGACGCTGTGTTTTCCTGTCACAATAACACAGGACGTGAGAGTGCTATCTTGCGTGAATCACTAGCAGGTGTAATATAGTGCACTCAATTTATTCTTTAGTTTAATCACTTTTCTCCATTACTGGGTAAATGATGAACACGATAGATGAAGATATGGTGCATTTTGGGCATTGTAGAGGAATATTTGGGGGAAATTATGCCGAGAGTTTTAATGCATTAAAATTCGACATTAATTTATTACTTGTGCCCATTGAGCACTTTTGCATGCTCTATTTGCAGTTACCTGTGGAAGTTTCTGCAGTGTAAGAAATGCTGGTAGAGTTCTCCTGCATTACCAGGCTCCTCTAGTTTTTATCTTCTCACTTCCCAGCTCTATGACCCAGCAATAACAAATGCCATTTATTGTCTCACATATGCCATGCTCGCCCTAGCCAGTTTGGCTCAGTGGATAGAGCATTGGCCTGCGGACCAAAGGATCCTGGGTTTGATTCCAGTCAAGGGCAGAAATCTGTGTTGCAGACTTGATCCCCAGTAGGGGCATGCAGGAGGCAGCTGATCAACGATTCTCTCCCTTGTCATTGACATTTTTATCTCTTTCTCGCTCTCCTTTCCTTTCTGAAATCAATAAGAAATACTGTATATTTAAATAAATTAAAATGGTTTAAAATTATTATTATTTTTTTTATATCCCTTACTGCATACATTTAAAAGTGTCAGTTGCCCTGGCCGGTGTGGTTCAGTTCATTAAGCACCAAAATGTTTTGGGTTTGATACCTGGTGGGGGCATGTACTGGAGGCAACCAATCAATGTTTCTTTCTCGTTATTCCTCTTCCTTCTTCTCTCTCTAAAATAAATAATATATAAACACATATATACTTTTAAATGTCAAGTTAATAGTCTCCCCAGGAAGCACACATCTCATTCTGGCCATGCCCACGGCATCTTCTCTTGGCACTGATCACACAGAACTGTATTTAATTTTATTTATTTATTTTTTGTTGTTAACTCTCATTCAAGGATATTTTTTCCCATTGATTTAGAGAGAGAGAGAGAGAAAGAAAGAGAGAGAGAGAGAGAGAGAGAGAGAGAGAGAGAGAAAGAGAGAGAGAGAGAGAGAGAGAGAGAGAGACATCAATGTGAGAGAGACACATTGATCAGTTGCTAGGGCCAGGGATCAAACCTGCAATCCAGGTATGTGCCCTTGACCTGAAATCTAACCCCTGACCCTTCGGTGGGTGGGCTGGTGTGGTGCTCTAACCATTGAGCGAGCACACTGGCCAGGGCACACTGGGTTTATTTTATTTAATTATTTATTTACTTACTTTTCCCCCTTTAATCCTCACCCAAGGATATTTTCCCATTACTTTTTAGAGAGAGTGGAAGAGGGGGAGATGGTGTGTGTGGAGAGATAGAGATAGAGATAGAGATAGAGATAGAGATAGAGATAGAGATAGAGATAGAGATAGAGAGATATCAATGTGAGAGAGACACATTGACTGGTTGCCTCCTAATACCCCCTGACCTGGGCCAAGAATTGAGCCTGCAACAGAGGTACCTGTCCTTGACCAGAAACCATACCCAAAACCCTTCAGTCTTTAAGCCAACGCTCTAATCACTGCGCCCCGGTTAGGACTGGACTGCATTTTAATTGCCTGTGTACTTCTGTCTCTGCCAGTAGACTGTGAAACTCTTAAGGGCAGAGGTTGCTAATTCTTCACTGTTGTCTCCTTAGCCCCAAATGCGATGCTAGCACAGAACTGGAGGTCAGTACGTATTTGTTGAATGGTAGGCGGCTGGAAGAAGATAGGGTAGGGTAATGTCCTCAAAGCAGTCAGCTAAGCAGTGCCGAAGTTCCAGCGCATAGGTTTCTGCCGTTGACTTCCTCTCTCACCCCCACTTTACCCTAAAAAAAATTCTCAAAGGGCTGTTTAAGTAATAGGACATATAGAGAATGTTTAAATGACAGAGCCTTATCCACAGCTATTATTCCCTTCCTTAGGGTTCGTAGAGACTCAGGATATGCTCCTAAGTGACCCTGGAGAGGGAGGGTAGAGGCAGAGCTACTCCTGTTTGTTCATTATCTACCATGTGCTTAGTACCATACTAGACACTTTCTCAAATAAACTCTCATTTAGTTCTCACAAGCATCCTGTAGGGTGGGTACTACTATCCCTATGCATGCGGGTGAGACAATGGAGCCTCAGAGAGAGGATGGACCTTGACCAAGTTTCCTGCAGTAAGAACTGGAGCCCAGGCTTACCCTCAGGTCTGCCTGGCACCAAAGCCCAAGCATGCTCCTTCTACCACGCACACCGTGCTGCTAGAGTCATGGGATGCTTTGTCCTGAAAAGAACCTGCCCAGGAAATTCACCTTTTGGTATGAAAATAATTTTTTTCAAAAAGTAATTTGGAAGAAAAAAAGTAATTTAGGAACATTTCTCTTGCCAAGTAGGATTTTGCAAATGATGGTTTTGCCAAGAGAAACAAAGAATGCTCAATTATCTTTTAATATTGTAATTGATTGAGTAACTCTTAAAATTAGCCAGGAACCCTTTTGGCCATATTGGATGAGGGGGGCATGCCCTGCCATTTTACATATCTGGGGCATGAGTTCTGGCTTAGCTCCCCATAATACAGGGATTTCTTTTGTTTATCTCCAAGGGTAGATCGCTGGCCTGTTTCACCATTACTTCTCCGGCCAGGTCAGCTCACTTACTTATTAACTAACATGTATTGCACACTTGCTATTTGCCAGGGCCAGGGCTAGGTATCTTGCCTGTATTAGCTCAGTTAACCCTAATTGTGACTTTATGAAGAGTGTAATATAATTTTAAACCCATGTTTGTTTGTTTTTGTGTGCTTTTTTTACTGATTTTTTGGAGAGAGAGAGAAGAGAGGAGAAAGAGAGAAGATAGAGAGGGGGAGAGAGAGAGAGAGAGAGAGAGAGAGAGAGAGAGAGAGAGAGAGAGAGAGAAACATCCCATACACACTCTGACAAGAGATTGAACCCTCAACCTGGTATATATGTATATATCCTAACTGGGAATCAAACCAGGACCCTTCAGTGCACAGAATAACACTCAACCAGCTGAGCCACACTGGGGGAAAAATAACTTGCCCAGAGACTAGAACTGGTGGAACATCATTGGCATCCAAATCAGTGTGAGTCCAGACCAGTGTTTGCACAGCCCCATGAGCCTGCCCACAGGCAGCACGGCAGTCCTGGTGTGTGGCATGGATGCACTGCACTCTGAACAGCTTCAATACTGCCTCCCTCTGGTCAGCATTTCTTTGTTGTCTGACATGAGTGCTACAGGTTGATCCACCCCCCCCCCCCCCCCCCCCCCCCCCAGTAACACAGCTATGGTTTGTGGAACTAGGCACATCTCCAGAGTCACAAATCCTTTTCTTAAGTAGAAGAGATTTCCTTTGTCTGAATTTTTAAAAGAGACTTTCCTTAGACAGATCCCCTCTGTTGGGCAAATGCAGAGAATTCTTTCTGTTTTCAACGTGGGCCCTTGAAAAAAGGGGAACACATGTCCTTTCATGTCAGTGGCTGTTATATATAAGCAGAATGGTCCAGACTGAAGCCATTTTTTGGAAGATCTTAGTGAACTGGACTAATTTGGTGAGATTTATATGGTGCCTAGCACTTTGCCACCACACATTGTTTATTTGTTTTAAAATTAAGAGGATCTATTTCTTAGGTAACAGAAGTATAAACAGACAGTAGAAAACACCCTCAGGACTGAAACTAGAGAAGTAGTGTCTAATGGAAACAGCTGTCAGAGCAATTTCTTGAAGCTCTGTTTATGATCACCTCCTTGTGAGAGATGAGGAAGGGAAAGCAGATGTCAGCCTGTGAAATATTGTACAGATAATCATTTATGATTATGTCGCCTTGAGAAAAAGGAGAGGTAAAAGAGAAACTTCACGTTTAGTAGGAATATAGGATGAGTTG